GTAAATATCAATCATCGGTACTAAAATGCGTGATAAAAAGATTTACTTATAGTGTACTCTAGGTATGAATCAGTTTGTAATAAAAAGGATGAAAATTTATATAGTAAGTATATAATAGTTTTTAATGAAATATTATACCAAATGTTTTGAAAAAATCGATATACTAAATAACTTACATATTCAAAAATTGTGACATTGTCTATTTGGATACTGATTTTTGTGTTGCAGTGACGATGTGTATGCGGTTATTAGAGTCAAATGTTAAACTATCAAACTTAAAAAAAAAAGCACTAAATTTAAAGATATTATGTATTTTATGTGTGTTTAATAGAAATATTTTTTATTTTATGTAAAATTAGAAATTAAACAAAATCAATTTAAATCAAGGTACAAACAATACACTTTTAACATATAACATTTAGATCATTTAATTTAAAATAAATTCAATCTGAGTTGTTATTATACTTTTTCAAATTTAAGATAGAGACGTATGAGAGATAGGAGTGTAGAGTCTTACGATAAGAGGCTTCTTCATAGACAAGAAAAAAAATTCAAGACTAACTGTAGACCATTAGATTAAAATTTTTGAGATGATCTGAACCATTTTTTATGTTGGGATTACGTTGTCCATTGGATGTGTTTATGCTTTATTTCAAAACGATCTGGATCTCTCTTTGTCATTTGGATTCAAACTTCGTTCTATTTTATTGTATAGATATATATATTTTTTTGCCAAACTAACACTAATTTTCAAAATAATTCATAATTTAACATATTGTCAAAGTAATTCTCACCAGAGTGCTCTGGATGTCACTACAACCGTATAGTGAGCAAAAATATAAGAAAAACACAATTTTTTTCCCCCAAAACGTCCATCTTTTAACCCAATCTCTTCTTGACCACAATTTATCAACACAACGTTAATTAATATAAGTTAAAAACAAAATATTGGTAACTAAAGTAGATTTTAAAATTAAAATTTTTTTACTGAAAATTTCCTAAAATTTGGCTAATGTGAGAAATCACAAATCTTGTGGGCCTTCCTTTCAAAATTGAGGTCTTTTGCGCGATTCTAAGTTCATCCAAAATTATTTTCAATTTTTTTCCTTTTAGATAACTATAAGGGATTAATCCACACTAGGATATTCTCCCCCCACCGAAGAATTCTGACTGACTTAGATTTTTTCCTAGGGCAATCTAGTAGTCTTTACCTCTCAATGCCCATGAGGAGCTCGTTCCACATCGACTGAGAGTCGTCCCCCCGCGCATATAAGCCTACGCTTCATATGTATACAGGGGGGAGACGACTTTTAGTCGATGTGGGACGAGCTCCTCATGGACACTGAGAAGTAAAGACTATTGGATTGCCCTAGGAAGGGGTCTAGGTCAGTCAGAATCCTTCGATGGGGGAGGATATCCCAGTGCGGATTAATCTCTTACAAAAAAGCGTCTTTTGGTGGACAGGATTGCCTCCCTCCGAAAGGATTCTGGCTAGCCTAGACCCCTTCCTAGGGCCTTTACCTCTCAGTGCATATGAGTAGCTCGTTCCACATCGACTGAGAGTCGTTCCCACCGACATATAACCCTACGCTTCATATGGAAGTAGTGGGTACCTCCTCCATATGAAGCGTAGGCTTATATGCCGGGGGGAGAGACGACTCTCAGTCGATATGGGACGAGCACTTCATGGTACTGTCAATCAAAATTCTTCGACGAGGAGAGAATATTCCGGTACGAATTAATCCCTTACGATAACAATTATTTTCCTGAGTGATTGTTGTGCAGTAGTAGCAGTGGTCATCCATAACTTAAAGCTTCTTGTTATCTTCTGTCGGACACAGACGATGACCACGAGGTGAGTGTAACATTACTGAATTCCATAACGTGCAGCTTCCGAGACCACATAATGGATGGAAGACCATGTTTGACCCTTTTGAGTTTGAGGTCAACAAAAACCACCGTGAATCATTGAGAAAGAAGTTCACAAAAACACGTTGGAAAACGAAAGGTGACCTAACTATGAAGGAAAGGGCTGATGGGTATGATCAATCTGATCAGAAAAGTAGAAGCAATCCACTTAATGAGGACTCCTCATCGGATTCAAATGGTACAGTACTGGAGCTCTGATGCTGCTATATCTCTCCCCCCACCCCCTCTTAATTGTATCGCGTTCAGGTTGGTGGCCTCAGGAACTCTTTAGATTTAAGTGACGGTGGCTACCCAGAAAAAAATGTGGATGGACAACCTCCAAAGATTTCTACACCGGAGGGAGAGTATTAAATAAATACTTATGTTACATATCTCTCTAATAATTTAAATTTTTAGAATAAATAATTCTTTAATAATAAAAAAATAATTTCGAGGGTCGATCACATTCACTTTGAATATTTTTTTTTCACATTTTAACAATTTTTTTTCAGAATTCTAATTTTTTATTTTTATTTTTTAGAAATTCTATCTATAAATATGCAGTTTGAGAGATTCTGCACATCTAGAAGTTACGTATCAACCACCAAAATAGTTTTCGTTTGTAAAAGGAAATGATGATCTAACACAAAATTAATTAGCAACCATGGATGGCGGGTATCATGCATTTTTTAGCATAGACATCATATAGGTACAGGGAAGTTTTTTCTAATGTTGATGAACATAGCTGTTCTTCAACCATATGCATGGAAGTGTGCGAAAGATGTTTCACAGGCTTCCAGAGGTATAATATAATGACGAAGAACAAAATGTCCTTGTAGTAGTTTTTGTCAATGCGTTCAAACTTGTGCACCAATGTAACACATGGCCTATTCAAAGTTTATCAGTCAAAAAACACACTCAATAGCAGTCTTCCTGTACCAAACCACTTGATCTAATTCAGTTGCTAGAACCTTTCATCTACTTGCGTCTGGTACCTTACATCACCTCATCTTTGGTATATGATTGGCCTCCCTTGTCCTCATGGAACCCTCATGATTTTTTTTTTTTCATAACTTGTAGCATTGTCATATCCACTTGTAAAATTCTCACCTGGGAAAGAAAAATAAGTAAAAAGGTTTTTAAGGTAGTATGAATAGGTTGACTACTTTAAAGTTTAATCTTTTTACATGGATTTGAGTATTAAATATTTTTATTGAGTCCTATATTGTTGGATTCCCTTCTCTCATTATCGTGTAGGTATCAATGATGAGTTCTAAGAATGGTGTTTGAAGGGGCATGATATTATAATCATGTATCTAAATTAGTATAATGATTCACACACAAGGGTCATGTGCGCATTTAAGGTATTGATGGTTCAAAGTGGTGCAAGACAAGACCGAGTTAATTGAGATCGGGTCAAGAATAAAAGATCATTTATTAGATATGTTCGGTTGACTTGGCCAAACTTGACTAAGATTTGAACAGCTCGATCCTATGTTAAGATATTCTCGATTAACGAGGCCGAGCATCATTAAAATGTGAACAGCTCAATTCATGTTAAGCAAAGTAATCGTTGATCATTCAGCAAATATATATGTGTGTGTGTGTGTGTGTTAAACTCCCTTTCTACCGATACCAAACTACCAATACCAAGTAATAATTATCATCAAGATAAACCTAAGGAGTGGCCTCCCTTGTCTTGACGGAACCTTCAACCTGAAACCACATACAATATGCAAAAACCAGCTTACTTGTACACCTATTGAGTGCTATCCTAAAGGCCACTTATGAGGAATCATATCAAATTATTATAATTCAATGTGGTTTGATAGAATATCTTTTTGGGACCAAATTGAATTGAATCCCTGTCAACAACTTGCAAATCACAGTGTATGTGGCATTTCTTTTTCTGTAATTTACCGTGGTGATCGATTGGTCTTCATTCAATGATATGCTGTAGTTTAACAGGGTTCATGTCTTACTGAAAAAAAAAAAATGCAAATCACAGTGCACAAAAAACCTTGGACTTTTTAACTAGTACGAATTGCACCAGCAAATTTCGTCCTTGCTGGGACTAATCTACTGTACTCAAGTTCTGTTTCTATGGGGAGGCAAGAAGTTTGTGGAGGGAAAATCCATAGTTTTTCGATATTACACTTTTTGATTGTATTGTTTCGTCATGTTTTATCATTTTCGAAATCAATCAATGACTACGATCGACTCAAATAAATATCTACGACCTAGAATAATTTTTGGTACTAAAACAAGTAAATATTTATGACTTAGAATAATTTTTTGGATACTAAAACATTATCGAGTGGTCTATAAATATCTTTCTTTGATATGCAATACTATCAAAGCATGTTCTTGGATGCATGGCCACTTAAGCAGTGGACAAAAAGAATAATTGAGAGTGGTCCTGATAATCTATCAAGAAGATATGATACAGACACACGACCCAACAAGCGTAAACATTTTGAAGTCGAAAATATTATTTGGATTTAATTTTTTCTAACTTAATTGTTGATTTAATGCATCATAATCTTTAAAAATCCAATAACTGAGAGTAATTAAGTCAAAAAAAGAGAGTAGCGAATTAGATCGGGATGGTATTACTCTTTCCAAACGGGTAGAAGCGAATAAGGGACCACAAAATAGCATTTCTTCGCCTCTTGTTTCTGATTAGACTTCACTGTCTTGAATATCATATCTAAAAGACTCACTTTCTTGTAAGCTACAACTTCATTAGAAGAGGTCCCTTTTCTCCACAGCAGTATACGATGAATTTGGCTCTTCTCTGATTAGAGAGGGTGACTGAAGTTGAATGATCAAAATGTCTTTATTAGAGTAACTGAAGTGTAACGATCAAAATCTCTCTATCTCAGCAGATTTCACCCGATCTAGAGTATGATTTCATTGGGAAGAAATTATTGTCGTGAGTAAGCTTGACAATTCTCTACATAATTATAGAACATGACATGAAGTTAGAAGATTTAGATTTAATTTTAATTTATTCAGATGATAAATGAAAGAACTCGTCGAACCCATCAAATAAATAGATTGACACTTATTTGCTAAACACGACATGAACCCAAGTAAACTACAACATACCACTGAATGAAGATCAATCGATCATCACGATAAATTACATAAAAAAAATACCACATACAAATGAATAATTACTGAAAACCCCAAGCTCTGGGCCCAAGGAGGTATGTAATTAAATTTACAAATGGGGATAGAGAGAAAAAAAAAAAAACGTGGTCCTATCTTTATACTGCTCTTTCTTTATGTCATCCCTCAGTTCATGTGAGCTATTACATAAAGTCAAAAGAAACATAAACCTGGCCGTTGGAAAAAGCCAAGAAAACCCATGTTCATCAGACAATACAGGCTTTGTTCCGTTTCTCCACCAAAAAGAGGCTGAGGCTGGCCGAGGCTGAGAATGAGACTGAGGTCTCTTTTGCAAGTGATTTTTATGGAAATCGTTGCTCTTAATTATATAAAAGTGTGGTGTTGGACTCTTATTGGTAGGCCTCTGGGGAAGTCGACAAATGGGAAGGCGAAAGCCTGATCCGGAGCAGCTAATTCCCAGTGATATTTGAGGACTAAATGGTGAATGAATAGAGCCATCTCGAGTTTCGCTAGTTCTGATCCTGCACAGAATCGTGGTCCTCCCCCGAATGGCATGAAATTATTACTACTTGTCATGCTTGCACCAGCAGAACATGGTCCAGGAGTATTCTGCAGCCACAAGAAGATTAATATCAGTTAAAAAGTGGACAAACGAATGGAACTTGAATAATGTTGTTCAACCAATGTTAGTATAGGCGAAGATGGACTACGGTATAATGGCATGTCACAAATGATCTATGTATTGGCTGTGATCTCTTACTCTTAGTGTATGCATCCCATCTCGTTTTGAACTTGTTTTTTCTAAGTTTGACACTTCTTTTTATAAATATTTCAATTCAAATCAGAATAATGTAGTATGTAGATGTCAAATGTGTAAACTGGTAATGGAAAATGCTACATGACATTAGATTGAATACATATTCGATAATGAAAGTGTCTAAAAAAATGTCACTCTAATCTCTCAATTATTAATTTTGTCAATTACATCCTAAAATTTCTAACAAAAAATCACGTCTACCACATAGAAAATGTCAATGCGCTTTAGGGATGTACTTGATAAAATAAATTTCACGCCACACTTTAAGGACTAAAACTGTGAACGTGATATTTCCCGTCACTAATGTATGTTGTTGATAGTATCAGTTACACATAAATTGTGAATTTGAAGGACTAAAGTGATACAATTGCAAGAATGAAGATCACAACAGATTGAAATGCATTTTTCCTTGTAAGTTACAAGTTGTAAGATGCAAACCTATAATATTGCATGCTTAGCACTTTAATCAACACATGAATACTATTCTTTCTTCTTTTTTTTGTTAAACGGTCAGGCCCGTTTGGGCATACATCTTGATTAATTTTATCTTTGGTCCGGTCAAAGAAAAATTATTCATATCGAAACTAAAGTATTTATGAGTAATACATTCCTTACTCCAAAAGGTTGCTATATAATGATATTCATTATGTTGTTAAGAAACAGTTTGTTCTTAAATATGAAGACCTGGAAGGAGGACAAGAAAGAGACGGAAACGAAAAATAGGGAGTGGGGTGTGGAATTTTGTTGGACCAGCACGGTACTGACCCACCAGGAAAAGCACTCATGCACGTGCACGTGAAAACCCCACATCCACATGGGAGGCTTTAATCATCTTCTCTCCCCCACACGCACGAGGGGAGACGGAGGGGGGAGTGTAGGGCACTGTTCGAGCTCATCATATCTTGGTGGCCCGACTCCGTCCGTACGGTGCGAAACATCTGGCCATTGATCATGACAGTTCATCAGGTGGGCCCACAACAATGGATGGAATTTGTTATATTCTAGAGTTTATCCTCTCAGCGCTCTAAACCATTTTTTATTTTTTTTATATCACCTTAATATAGATTATTAAATTAACGGGTACGGTGGTGTAAGTGAGGTGATGAGCAAAAGTGTTCTGCGCAATATTATTCTTTCTTTATTTGGTTCAACGGCAGGGATATTTTGATTAATTTATGTGTATTTAAATTATTTTTTTTTCAGTTGGGTTAAATATAAGTAATTTATATTGAGCATTAAATGTATTCATAAGAGATAAATTTTTCATGGTCTGACTAAAAAATTATCAAAATTCAAATTCAAAACATTTAAATTTATAATTTGTCTTTATTACCACTTAAATTATCTTTTAAAGTTTATTCTTTATCTGTTTACACTCAGATTTTTGAACTCCCAAATTCTTGTATGTGTGTATATAATCATTAATTGGAATTTTCTTATCACTGCGCCTGTCATTTGAGTAGTGTTTGAGACGTATTATTTCAGATTCGTGTAATTCATTAATTTATCAACCATAACTTTATTTGTTTAATTATAATTTCACATGTGTTAAGGTATTTTCGTCGTACTATTAAATTATTTATAGTAAATATTATCTAGGTTTATTTATTATTCGTGTCAATAGATAATGACGTTTTTAGATTTAGTAGAATTAATTTTTTATAACTCACTATTTTTATATCGGGTTTGTGTGAAATTAATTTGTTGGGTGTAAAATTACCACTTGCATACCCCCAATCTTCCACAGTAATTGTGTCCCAACAAAATGAATACTGGCAAAAAAAAAAATCAAAGATAACAATAAAAGCATGCCATGAAAACACTTTTCATCAAAATTGACAGACCTGCCATCTCCATGGATTGAAGTGTTGAGGTTGGTCAAAAAGAGAAGGATCTAAATGGACGGCTGAGATCACCGGAAGCACTTTCCACCCACATGGAATGTCATAACCTTTTAAATCACATAAAAAAAAATAATTAAATTCAAAGCAGTCAGTGTGTACTCATATCTATTGAAACTCTGAATGGGGCACTTACCTTTGTACCGAATATCTTTGATAGCTTTTCTATGGAGAAACCTCACTACATTTCCAAGCCTTAATGTCTCACTGATAACCTTCACAAAAATGGCATACAATCAATAATCTAATATGGTTCACAATCAGGTAAAAAAAAAAAAGAAGAGAAATATAAAGTATGTCTTGGTAAGGATGTTACATGGAAATTAAAGCATTTTAACTAAAATAATCTTTCCACAAATGGGTATCGTACACTAAGTATTTTAGATGAAAGACGAATAAGATAACTTAATCTTAAAAGTAGTTTAAATGGTAATAGAGACGAGTTATAAATTCAAATGTTCTGAATTCGAATTTTAACAATCATTTAAGATCAAATTAAGAGGGATTTATCCCTCATAAATACCTTATCTTAGCGTGGATGACCTGTCTTTAACTAGACCGAAGAGACCGGACTAAAGAGATGATTAGTTAAAGTACATGTAAGTTGATCTAAAAAACTTTACCCGTTAAACCAAAAAATAAAGAAAAGAATAAGAGGGATTACACATTGAGTGAATTCCATTTTTTTGTAGTCATCCCAAGTCAGTTCCATCTCTCCTGATTGCTTCTTGGATTTGACAATTTCAGTGTGTTCTTCCTGAATTCATTGAACAACATAAAGTGATCAAATAAAGGACTTTGATAAGTACTTGGGTTTCATATATGATGCAACAAAAAAAAAAACATAGTTTTTTTTTATGCTTACTCTCAGTTGATGAACAGCAAGAGGACAACCTTGCAAGAAGTAAATGGCTAACGCTATTGATACCGAGGAAGTTTCATGGCCAGCGAAGAGTAAGCTTAAAACTAAGTCAAGTATTTGCTCCCTCGAAAGGTCAGAGTGCTTCAAGACCCATCCAAGAAGATCATCTTCCTCCATATTCTCTCTCCTGTCTCTCACTTCCCTAATCTTCTGTTCCATCTTCCTCTCAATGAATTTAAGGATCGTTGACCGAGACTGCTCAAGTCAAAAAACTAGTAAGCTAAATGTTCAGAAACTAGTAGCATGAGAGAGAGAGAGAGAGAGAGAGAGAGTGAGAGAGTAATTAAGAAGTTTATTGAAATGTTCATCTCTGTATCTCTGACCTGTAAGGCCTTTCTGTATGCAGTTCCAGGGAAATTCAAAGGAGCAGAAACCACTCCTTTCATGAAAGTGATGTACTCTTTCTTAAGTTCTTCAGTCTCTGGTTTTCCAGGATCCAAGCTCATGATATGTTTTGCCATTAAATTGAAAGTGAACTGCACATAATTCTTAATTAGTAAATTTTTTTATGGTAATGACGGTCCTCTCAAAGGCATGGCCTTATTTTACGGTTATAATCAGGTTAACACAGAAGACACTAACGAGAATTAAATATAAGACGTCCGAATTTAAAATTCGTCTAAGTAAGCTAATAATCATTCCTCTTTGTAAGATCATTGTACGCATAACAATTGATAAATTATAAATTATACCTTCTTTGACTCATCTTGTGCACAAATCAGAGAATTGTCCTTCCAAGAGTTGAGAACCAGCAAGGTATGCTTCTCAACATCTGGTAAGAGATGGGTCCTAAGCCTAGCATTGTTCAAGAAGTTGAGAGATATAATCCTCATGTCTCTATGCATGTCTCCAACTAAAACCAACATAGACCACTTGCCCAGAATCCCACCTATACTTCTTGGATAGCTGCATTCAAACAATCTCCCTTCATTTTGCAGTATGAATCTGTTGAGCCCAGCGTCCGCTGAGACTACTGTGGGCTCACCAAACAGATTCGACTTGTAAATTTTCCCAAACCTGCATACATATATATAGTCAGAATTTGAAGGGTCAGATTATAAAAATAACATCTGATTTTTAGAAAAAGTTGTGTGTTTTTGTGAATTACCTTGAGATGTGTTGCTCCATGAACTCTCCTATTGTGGTGGCTGAGTATGGCTTCAAATAGCCAATGGTTTCGCCAAGGAAAGGCCAACCCATGTTGCCTGGTGGAAGATTGAGAGTGTTTCGTTTTCGTTTTATGAGATTAAGGATCAGAATTAGAAAGATGATTGGGGGAAGAAGAAAGAGAAGAATCTCTGAGTCAGACATGGAGACTGACTCTCTCTCTCTCGACCTGAACTGAACAAAAATTGCAAATCAGATAACCACTTTCTGCATCTGATGAAAAGGGACTTTCGGTTTTTCTGAGGCTTTAAAATCACTAAAGCTGAGGGTTTGAAGGAAACAAAACTTAATGGACGCTTTGTAGCCAATAGCCTGCTTTTATGGGCTTCTTTCTTGTCGTTTAATAAAGGAAAATATAATAATTTTCAATTAAACTAAACAAACAATATAGTTCCAATTTTAATTAAAATATTTCGTATTAGAAAATATAGTCCTTGATTCTTGCACCGGGGAGAACCGCTGTGTCAAGGGTCAACTTAACGTGCATATGAACTAATCTTTTCTTCATCCGATTAAAAAAAGGCCATATACGCCCAGGACTAGGGTATTAATAAAAAAAAATTATAATTTGAACTCAAGAGATTGTCAAAATTCAAATATAAAATGTCTGAATTTACAGTTTGTTATTATTACCACTTAAACTACCTTAAAATTGAAAGACCTATTTTATGACATGTTACTATCTGTCCTTAGAATAACAACAATATGTAAGGTAATTCTATCGTTCAATTTTCCATCAAAATGGTACTATTGTCGACAATGATTAAAAATCCATTTTTTCGTTAAATTATTTGCCCCTTTGAAATTTGGCATTTACTTTGAATTATCGTCGTGTGATGGATGTGGTTAACAGAACCACCAACAACTTGGAGAGGATTCTATCTTGGGAATTAATACTAGAGTAATGCTAGATGGGTTACCCATAAATTTTGGAATATTCAGTCTCACGGTGATATTACGTCATTGCTGACACGTAGTATCACCAATTGATAATAAATTATTAAGGAAATAAGTAAATCTTATTATTTTAACATAAAATTTATATATTGAGTGTGATAATTATTGAAATTGTAAAATCCATTAGGGTCATGTGATATTTTTATAGTTGGTAGGTAATACCGTATGTTAAAGATGATATGAAATTATTATTATATTCAATACCAGTTATTATCCATGCTTGAAAACATTGAGTAATACAAAAAAATTATCAATTACATATTTGTATTTACACTCAAAATTAAATCAAAAATATAGAGAAGATAGAAAAAAATTTAAATATCAGTTGTAATTGGGGTAAGCAATGGTAGTGATGGTGGACGACAATGGTGGTGGTGAAAGACAGTGATGGTTGTGGTAGGTAATCACAACTGTAATGGTTGTGACAATTATGAGTAGTAACAGTGATGGTGGTGATGAATTTTGAATGACGATAGTAATAATGGTACTCGTGGATGGCAACGGTGGCGGTGGTAAGTGACAGTGATGGTAGTTGGCAGTGGGGGTGGTGGGGCAATGACAATGGGGGTGGCAGTGGTGGGTTTATAATGACAATGGAAGTGGTGGGTGTGAGTGGTGCTTATAGGCGACGGCAGTGGTGTGTAATAACGAATGACAGTGGTGATGGTAGGTATGGTCGGAGTGGGTGACTGTGGGTGATGGATGATAACAGGTGATGGTGGTAGGTGTGGTAAGGGTGGGTGACAATGAGTGGTGGTACTGGTGGGAGACGATAGGTATTGGTGGGTTATAGTAATGGGTGGCAGTGGGTGACAATGTTGATAGTAATAATAAATATAAGAATAAGATGATAATGATGATGGTGGATGGTAGCAATCAGTGATGGATAATGATGGTGGTAGTGGTGGGGTGATGATAATGGTGGTGGTGGCGGCGACGGTGGATGTTGTGAAGTGTTCTATATATAAGTGATTTTAAAGAAGTAAAAATTATTTCTTTTTTTTATTTATTTCCTTACTTTAAGTTGTAAAACTAGTTTTGACTTATTTGGAAGTAATTAAAATAAATTGTTACAACCACTACTTTTTTAAAAAAAAAAAATACTTATGAGAAGTTATAAGTTCTAGAAATACTTTAGAAAAATCACATCAAATACACCGCTGATCGAATTAACTTTAAAATAAAATTTAAAAAGATCTCAACCTCGAAAAATAAAAATCATTTTTCATATCTTCAATCTTTGAATTTTATTATATAGATTTTTTCATGTTGCTTTATGGGGTGGCCATTTATTTTGGTAATACATCAACTAAATTCCCAACAAATTTGGGGATGGGTGATCATCTCGCTCGCTATCATATCCTTTCTTTCTTTTTAACACTCATGTAGACACAAACACAAGATAACTCAAGTGGTAATAAAAATGAGCCGTAAATTCAAACGTCCTGAATTTAAATTTTGGTAATTACTTGATGTTACACCAAGAAAATTTTCTACCTCATAAATACCTTAGTTCCAGTACGAATAACACATGTCTTTGACCAGATCGAAAAAAAAATTAATAGAAATGTGCATAAGCTGGCCTGAACACCACTAATTATTGAACAAAAAAAAAATATAAACACAAACACACGGCTTTATTATGTGTGCACACGCATACAATATAAAAAGAAGAAGATAAATTAACATAGTATACTCTTTGTAGCATTGTTGTATCAGCTTTCCCTCTATGGTCTGCCATCCCCCTCAGTACACACCACAGTCTTTATAGACTTTCCATTGGCTTTATAACACATCTTTCTGACCATCAAACATATTTTGGTCTAATTGAAGGGGAACGCTATTGTACCATCTTTTATTTTTCGGTATCATAACGACAAGTGAAAAAAAAATTTTAAAAGAGAATAAATTTTACCAAAAAAATGTTAAATTTTACTCAAAAAAGGAGGTAAGTGGCATGCCCGTCTTTGGGTCGTACATTAACTTCCACGTGGTTAGCAAGCAGGATTTGATTCTCGGGGTCTCTATGCCTATACTACTTAGACTCTAGTGGTGGTGTGGTAACGGGTTATTCCAAAAAGGGTATGTAGTTATGACTAACCGAACATTTCACATCTGGAGGAGGCCCCCATGGTCACGCCCAAGATGGGTCACTACTTATTGGTCGCCCCCCCCCCCCCCACCCACCTCCTCCTCCTCCTCCTCCTCCTCCATTTTCTTTGATAAAAAAAAATGATAGGTGAAGTCAAAAGTTAAATCTATTCTAAAAGTCGAATAATTTTACCTAATAGATTATACAAATGTCTAAAAAAAAGTGATGAATGACTTTGTACTAATTTTTTTTTTTTTTTTTTTTTTTTTTTTGAGGTTGTCATAGTCGGCTCCAACCTAAAGCCATTGAAGCGGTTGCTTTAGGCCCTGCCCATGATATATAAAGGCCTCGTATTTGGCTACACTGCAATTTTTTTCTGTTTGAGGGAGTAATATAAAAATTTTAATTATTTTAGCGTAAATTGAGAATTTAAAAATATTTTAGAGTACAAAGTGTCATTTACTTGACTAAATTTCATAGTTTGTATACTTGTATTCCAAATGATCCTATTTCTTGTTGTTTCTTTATTTTTTGCAATTCTATATTATTTTCAATTAACTAACTCTCCAATAATAAAACAATCCGTTAACTTGTATTTTCTTCTAATTAGCGAAGTCAGTAACGGACTAGGGTGCGCACGTGTCCACCCTCAAACTTTTTTCCTAATTATTTACGTATATTTTTAATATTTTTTAATGATGTCCACCCTATTTGTTTTAGTTATTATACCTATACCAATGACTATCAATTTTTTCAACATATTCTCAACAAATTCGAGTAAGTTTTTGGACATATTAACTTTGGTTTATAGTTAATTTTTTTATATTTCTTTCTTGTAGATGTTGGACTTTATGTCTAATTAATATTGAACTTTATCTCTAATTAGGGACTTAAGATGGTCCACATGTCATATCATCTTTTTAATAAATAAATATGACGTATATTTAATATATATTCTATATACTGAATCAAATTTTTTTGGATAACTGATATTAAAGTAACTATCCACTACTCCTATCATCAGATGGAGTGACTATCATGGAGCAACTCAAAGCAGTTGTAGCTTCTTGATGGAAGGACGTTACTTGCAATTTCTCTATTGAATAAGAGTCCTTGTCTATATATATTTTCATACTTGTTATTTTTCATCAAGTCATATGTGTATTCAGATATCATATATTTAGGCAGAAAACTCATGTCTCATATACCTCAATTTTAGTACATATTTATAAGATTGTTCTTGGGTGTTCTTCTTGAGCGTTGAGGTCAAGATTGTGATACGGATTCGTATTATTGATTATTCTCTCTATAGAGAATTCAAATTTTTTGTACTCAAACTTGAACATCAATGACAGGAGGTAGATATTCAATTTCGCTATACAAAATAAGAAGATTAAATTATTCGATAAAACAATCTATTAGTATACACTATAAATAGTAATTTTTAGCCATTTTTATTTAATTAATTTTAAAGTGTCATATATAAAATAAAATGTAAATAAATATCAACATAATATTTTTTTCTTTCGATTTGGTAAAAAAATCAATTTCTCAAAGTGTTCACCCAAATATAATTTTCTAGCTTCGCCCGCATAATCATTTACAAGTTGAATAATTTTAAACATTTTTTTTGTCTATAATTCCAAAGTTTAATAGTAAGTCTAAAATTAATTTTAAGAGATAATTCAAGTGGTAATATAGATAAACTGTAAATTGAGACGTTTTAAATTCGAATTTTTGCACTGACTTATTTTTCAACAGATCAAAAAAAAAATTAGTTGAGGTACACCACTCGCCGTTAGTTTGTGTTAATTAAAAACTTTGTAATGTTTTGAATTCAAGTGGGTACATTATTGGCGTTCACGTGAATGCTCATCATCGAAGGTATCAACCTACTCTTGCATTTCAAAAATGATACAAGATCTGAACCGTTAAAGTGGGAAGATTGACTAGTTAGTTTTATGATAAACAAAGGGCTGAGAAGGTGACCACGT